ATTTTTATTGCTTAATTTAAAAGGATTTTCATTTTTTCACCCCTACTTCATAATAGGATGGTCTGTTTGACCCAAAAGTTGGGACAGATCTAGAGTGTTTTTGTTTATATACCTCCAGCTGGCAGGCCAGGCTGAGGCAGCCCAATCTATTTTTACCCCTAGACAGAGACTGAAGGAAATATAGTCCCGTTGAATGGGGTGCTTGAGAGGTCATTGACCTCACCTCTTCACTATGGTTGGTTGGCTGGTTTTATTATAGGTCTGTTAGTGCTGTTAATGATATTCATGGCCATATAACGTCAAATTACATTTAAACCCATCTGCCTTCTTCTAACCATTCTTCATCTTCATCTGAACATACCTTCCATATACAATGAATACAGGTGATAACATAAATAAAACCTTACAACACCAACCTCCTCCATGGAGGGAAGATGTCCCTGACTTCTCCTTGTTGGAGTCTGTAAGCTGACATGTTCCAGGCTCAGATCGCAGTGGACTATCTTGGTAAGAGGCTAAGATAGGGGATCTTGGGCCCAAAACATGCCATTTTTAAATCCCTCTTCCATACCGTATACCATTATGATTGCTACCACCAGTTAGGTGATCCAAATGCTCTTATTCCAGCCTCACATGTTGAGACTAGAATGGATGTTTCACTTTTTCCTTGACAACAAAGTGAGGACTGTTCCCCCCTCCCACATTTTGCTAGGATTATTATATTGTTGCCTGCTCGTAATTTTCTTGATTACCCATTGTTGTGATTTTTTAAATCTCAAATGTTTCATAATAACGTCATATATGTAAGTTGCCATGCATTTTCAGATAGGTTTCAACTTCCAAGCTCACGTGATGTGTCATGTGTGGTCTCTTGCATCTGTGTGAACATTTCAAGCGGAAATATCTTGCTGCAGGCTAGTTGTAGATTGAAGTCAAATGAAGGGGAGGTGATTCAAGGTCCCAACAACTGCAGCACATATGTATGTATGTATGTATGCCATTTGTTAGAAGACTCAACAGTCACGCAAATTGCCAGAAGCGCTGTACACTTTGCATGCTTTAGGTCACAAGGGTAAATCTCGACATGCTAAGTTTTAATACCCAATGAGTTTTACAGTTTGGACACAAACAGTTGAAACACAAAACTGTTTTTCCTGCATGTCTGATATACAGTAAATATTTTAG